CTTATCCATTGATGACATGACAAGTATTGAATTTCACTTAGTTTACATGCTGATTTCCACATCACATCTAAACAATAAAATAAAGCTACCAGTATCTATGATATAACTCAGGTGACCGCTAAGGCCCTTGGGCCTCTTGTTCAAAATGTAAAGGATACAATTCGAAAATTACTATCTCGAAATAAACATATGAACAAACCTATTTCTAAACATTTTCTTCAGGTTGGTAAGTATTGATTATGAGAAGTTCTTTTTATACAACCAATACAATTTTATATGTGACGTTTCGATGACTAGTAACATATATAATACCTATTGTACATACATTTCCAGCGTAGCCGAAATTGACATCGATTTTATGGACAACTCGTACACATTTTACACCTTTGTGTGCATACGCTTCATTGGTCATTTGTCTGATGAAGGTGACAGTGTACATATCGTACTAGTCATCGAAACGTCACATAGAAAATTTTGTGTAAAAAGAACTTCTCATAATAACAAATATGAACAAACTATCTCAAGTTCGGAACTTGTATCTAACTTACTTAAAAATAAATAAAACCGTGTTAAAAATAAAACCTTTCCGAAGACATGATAACCAAAAGAATAAAAGATAGGTTTTAAAATTACTTCTAATGTTAATTTTCAGATTTGCCTACTGTCAGAATACATGAAAAAAACTATACTGCCATAATAGGAGAACAGCTGAAGCTGGAGTGTTCTGTATCTGCACATCCTTTGATAACAACAGTTTCCTGGCAACGTATTTTACCTGAGGGGCAAACCGTAACATTGGATATGGACGAGTTAAAATATACTGGATCAAAACCGAATGACCCACACTTAGTAATCGACGACATCAGGAAAGATGACGAAGGCACCTATGTATGTACCGTCTCAAACTTGAATGGGGAAAGGCAGAGTGCACCTACTAAGCTGAAAGTAAAAGGAGGTAAAAGCTTAAATTTAATATTTCATCCTTATCACAACAAATGAGTATTAAAGTGTGAAAAAAAGCAATTTTGTTTCCCGAATGATTGCCCAAACTTTCTCTCCTTTTCTCATACACAAAGAACATATGAAGTAAAACCACAAAATCGTAACAGCTGTCTACTCTTAATTTGTAACAAAAATGTTACTGACGCTTTGTTGTGTGTCATGATAAATGCATTAATGTGATATGTATTGGTTTAAAATTAACCTTAGGTCTACCAACGCTGAATATGAAGCCAAAAAGCCACTATAAAACTGAAGGAGAAGTTGCTATTTTAAAATGCAATGTCATTGCGGAACCACCAGCATCCAATATTGTATGGACCAAAGAAGAAGAAGGAGGAGGTGAACGTGAAATTGCAATTGACAATGATAAATACCACGGCGGTTTGCCAAAATCCCCTTCGCTGATAATAGCTGAAACGGAAAAAATACATGACGAAGGCAAATATATTTGTGAAGCGGAAAATCATGCAGGACAGAAAAGCAATTCCGTGCACTTGACAATAAATAGTACGCTTGCAAATACCGAAACAAGTAAGTGATTTAACACTGATAAAGCTGTCAAAATGCTGCGATGTAAAAATAAACTACATTATCATATATATAATACTTTATTGGTAATTTTGACGATGTACTAATACACTTGATTATCATCTATATTCTACTTTATTGGTAATTTTGATGATGTTTCGCATAGCGATTGTGAGTGTGTATTTATTCAAAGTATCAAACATTTTCGTTGTTTTTATTGAACGTAAAATAAAGAAAGCCCTTAAAGGAACTGGTCGGGGAAAAAATGTCATATTTGCTAAAATGGCATACATATGTTTAAAATACCTTCTTATGAAATATACCGATTCAAATTTTGCTGAAATTCACTCCCTAAGAGTAAAAATTATAATTATATTAAAGAAATCCTAAATCGTCACCTGACAGTGTAAAACTCTCAATGACCCAGCTCAGTGATGTAATTTTACCGCACGCGCGTCATCAACAAGGCCAAATGTAAACATCGCGGCGAAAGGAAAAGATGCATGCAAAAGTCATGACAGGCACGAGGTATCAATACCGTTATATATAACAACAACATATAGGTAGGAATACTACACTTGCATGATACATGATCTTTGAAAACAATTATTTACGTATAATATTGCTGTCTTGTCCGCTAGTTGAGTCCGACATGGCACATGACGGCGTGCTATTGTTGTTATCTTCACTGCCTCACTTTCGAAACAACCACGTGACATATATAAATAGATCTGCGCAAAATGTACGCGGGGCTTCCCCGAGATTTCAGTGGTCAAAACTGGACATTGCAAGCAGAACTCGACCATCATATTGCCGTCGTATAACTTTTGGAAGGCAAGAGAACGTTTTTAGACTCATTTATTTTGTATTTTTTCCCTTGACCAGCCCCTTTAAAATCAATAGCATAATATGGTTAATACGAATTAGTGATCAAGTTTCCTTAATTATATTTTCGAGTATTCTCCCCTGAGTACCATGCACTGGAGCATCCGTTGGTGTTGAAAGAAAACCACAAGGCAAATAAAGAAAAGAATAAATAAAAGTTGTATTAAATATCAGATTACTTCACATAGAAAAGGAAAAGAACTAAGTAGACGTCAACACAAACTAAAAAACATAAACCCAACATACAAATATTTAAGCATTAAAGACACCAAGACCTAGTTATATTTCATGTGATGTAGCATTACTTTGACGATGACTGAAATCCTATATTGATAGAGCATTTGGATTTCCTGATGTCTTCACATTCTTATTATGCCTTTCGTTGTTGCCTTTTCGTATTACTTTGGTTCTTATTGCTTCCCCCCCCCCCCTTTTTAAGTACGTTATTTCTCCTTAAAAATGAACAAATGTTCATTACAGATCAAACGTTAGTCAATTTTGTTTATCCAATCCTCATTATTATACCATATATATTAAATACAAAATGCTTGTATATCAGTAACATAGCATAATCTGTTTCCAATTATAAATAATGGAAATTTTTATTTTTTTTCTTTCATGTCAAGTCAAAACCACTCACGAGGAAGGCATTGGATATCGAATTCGATTCAGACATGTACAAATGGTGATCGCTTTATCTGAACATATTTGCCCAGAAGCAAAACATTGGGCAAACTTTATAGAATTAATAAAGGTGTATGTGCCAAATTCAGATCTTGGAAAGAACCTACAAGACAACGTATCTTATCTCGAACGAAAGGGCCATATTTCTTTCGGTCGATATGACAAGTTGTTCAAAATTGTTAACGAAATAGATAAACCAGCCTCGCGCATCATTATGAAGGCAGAAGCTGATATAAAAACAATTAGAAAAGGAGGTAAGCATAATGTATATTGTTCTTAAATATTACAACGGTTTTGTTTTAATTTCTTACATGCAAGCAATGCCGAAGATTTTAATTTATTCAATCAATGTTACATTTACATATTCACATGGTTTAAATGTAGTTACTCAATACTCTTTATTGTGAACTGAAATGTTGTTTTGACAATCTTGTTTTAATGTTAGTTGTCATATTTAATTTGAATTTAAGACAAATGTCATTTAATACATGTTATATGTTCAAAGGGATGCCACAAGAAACGACTACCAAACTGGTATGCACATTTGACGGTATTTACAATCAAGAGTTACCCCAAAAGTGTACCAGTCAAATCACAGAGCAGTTCGGAGAAGTCAGTGGCAGAATGACAGGAGAAGTGAGTCAAGGTAATATGAACGTCATGATTCTTGAAAAAGAGACATACACAACATAATTCTGTATTATTTTTGTACATAAAACATCACATAATTTTTACGATGTCATAATTCACACAGTATCCAATATCCGAAACAGTGTGAGGAACGAATGATCCATTTTTGCTTCAAATGCATGCAAATGTTTGTTTACAAGAAGGTTCATGCATGATTAGCTAAGCAATTGATGTCGAAGTATTAGTAACGGTGAGTTAAACTTAAAAAACCCTCATGATTAAGTTAGTGAATCATTGGCGTCGTGATTAAATTTCAAGGACTTAATGATTTGTTCGAATTCGCTACATAGAAATTTAAGGTGATTTTTTCTGTTGGCTAACCTGCCAGAAGGGTTAATGAGCTTGTTGCATGGTGCGGTGTATGTCGTCCGTCCGTCGTCCGTCAATTTTTCCTTTAAATGACTTCTTCTAAAGGCCTTAAGTCATATTATTTGGCTGAAAGATTTGTTGGTAAAAGCCCAACAAAGTTTTGGAACGAAAATACACCTCGACTATAAACGACTTCTTTAGAAGAACTGAAAGGTAAAGAATCTTAATATTTTGCTGGTAGCTTCTTTGGGTGAGTCCATACAAAGGTTGGAAATGAAAATGACATTTGCCAAGATCACAATAGGTCAAGTACTTCAAACGACTGTTTCAAAATCTGAAAGGTACATACTTTTAATAGTTGGCTGGAAGCCTGTTGGGATTGAGAACAACAAAGTAAAATATGAAAATGACCTTGACCCACTTTCAAAGTCACAGGGGTCAAATATGTTCAACACTTCAACACTTCAAACGACTTCTTCTGAATATCGAAAGGCATATAATTATAATATTTAGCTGGTATCTTTATGGGATAGAGCCGGACAAAGTTTGCAAAAAGAAAATAACCTCAACCTACTTTCAACAACACAGGGGTCAAATATGGCAAAAACTGCAAACGGCTTCTTATGACGAAATGAAAGGCATATACTGTGAAATTTAACAAGTGGCTCCCTTGGATGGAGCCCAACAGAATTTGAGAATGAAAGTGACCGTTACTTACTTACAAGGTCACATGGAGCAAATGTGTTAACATATTCAAATGACTCTGCTCAATAACTATAAGAGCCATAGGATGATGATATTTGGGATTAAGGACTTCCAACCTTTTTTCAACTGAATGACTTTGTTAGACTTTCAAGGTCACTGTGGTAAAATGTGTTAAAATCCTGTAACAGGTTGTTTGAATAACCAAGACTCAAAAGAAGGATTTTGTTATCCTAAATCTGTATCTAAATCTACTTTGATATAGAGTATCCTTGGCCCAATATAATTCAATGTTGTATAAACCATGCCCCCACCCCGATGGGGACAGAGGGATGGGACCAAATGAGGTAAGGGTGTTGCTGAGAGACAGAGCCAAAATTTGAAAATATTTGTAGTACAGTATACTATTTGATGAGAATATTTTTTCTATGACTACTTGAATATCAAGGTGAGCGATACAGGCCCTCTGGGTATTTTTACAATGGAGTTGTGAATGTTTCTTTCAACATTCCTTGAGGTGGTGCATTGGGTATCTGACTCACCCTTGTATCAAGGCCGCAGGGGTTCGATTACCCGATCCGACGTGAAAAGGTATTGGGTCACTAGCCTGACAACGTGGGTTTTCTCAGGCTATCCCGGCTTTCCCCCAATATTAAGACTTTGACGCGTTTGTATCCGGGCCAGTAAGAGAACTTGTTTCATTACTTTTGAAAAATGGGTTAAGTTTTATACGTTTGTTGTTTGTAGTTCTGACAAATGTAGTTTGAAAGAAGTTTGGACGATCTTTTAAATATTTGGTATAAAATAATCTTCACACTCGTCAATTGACTGCTTTCGTAGTAAAAAAAAAGCTAGGTTACAGACAAATTCTACAGTACGTAGTATGATCTAATATTTCAATACTCCCCTCGAGGTCATGATGTGGCAACTGTATTTCAGAAAATTATTGTGTAAAATACATTAGGAAAATAAAGGGATCGCGTTGCTGTGATAAATTGCAGACACTGGCTTTTATCTCTAAGGACAAACTTGATAAAAGTTGGAGTAAAACGGAGCATTTTATAATTTTTAATGCCTTTGAATAGGTTCTCACACACAATGCTTTGTTTGGTAAAATATACGGTTCACTTTCCCACTTCAAAACAATAAGTGCATGTTATGAAAAGGAAGAGATACACATTTGGCACTTATTATTTTTATGATCTGTATACTGTTTTGACATTGTATTTATCGATAGATAGCCTTTCAAATATCACGACCGAGCAGTTTCCTTATTCCACATGAATACTCCAAGTGTATGTCTTGTTGGAGTTTAATAAGGATGTATCATAAATGTGGGAATTATCAATTAATGCAATCTGCATTGTATAACTTGTTGTAGTGATTCAAGACCCTTTGCAGGCCAGTTACTAAAGTGAACTAGTTGCACACTTTCATCTGCCCTGATTCAATTTCTTGCAGACATTGTTTGCTTAATGATGTTAACGTGCCTCTCGTTTCAATGTTTATTACGACATTAAACAATAGGCCAACACCGAAATAGCTTGCGAGCTAACATTATTGGTAGCCCGAGTATCACTATTTATTTTCAACAGATTAAAAAGGAGAGATACAGTGGAATTATTTTTTTATATTTACATTTCCACTGCAAGTCTGTAAGCATTTCCATACGAAATTGAGTTCATAGGGCTGTGAACGCATTTACGATTTACATAAATCAACCATTAGAAGCAAGCATTTTGGTGGCATTAGGCTATTCCAGAAATATTGTTTGCAATGACGACACAGATATTTCAACACTGAAAATATTAAGGAATATCTTTGTTTTGGTCAATAATAACTATCAAATTAGAATGTAAATATAATGATTGAACGGATTTTCAATGTTCATGCATATATGAACGCAAACCGGTTACATACATATTTACCACTTGGCGGGCTTCATGGAATATGTATGTAATCGATTTGCGTTCATATGAGCATGAAATGGAATGAACACTGACCAAGCCAGACACCTTGCTGCTGCCATAACCTTTGGCCCTTTTTTTAAAGTCATGTAACAATTTAAAAATGTATCTGAAGTAATAACAAATATGAATAACTGAATTAAGTACTATTACTGAGGTCTCAAAACTTTCCCATGATTAATATTTAGAAATACGCATTTGAAGCAATGTTGTTTATAATATGAACAACTAGAATACATTTCCTGAACTAGTTTCAGGGTTAAAATTATATATCACATAGGTCTTATTTCATACATATTTAAAGGTACATATTTAGTTAGTAACAACTGTATGAAGCAATATTGTTCAGAATAGAACACATAAATAAATTATCAATTTTCAAGGTCAAAATGTAAACATTGAAGGACATTTAGTTCATGTTTCAACTTTCTTAAATTATAAAAAATTGACAATAATTACATGAATCAATATAGTTTGGAGTTGAACGATTAAATCAATTCAGATTTTAAAGTAAAATTTGTTAATAGTAACTGTTTGTTAATAATTACCAAAAGCAATATTAATTTCTTAGGAATTGAACAACTAAATCAATTATTGATTTTTGTGGCAATTGCCAAAAGGTCAAAATTATAGATCTCTCAGTTTATATTCATATTTAAAAGTAACTTCAATAAGTACATCAAGCGATATTGTTCTGAAGAAAAATTCATTTACCAGGTAAATCTTTTTTTAAAAATCATAAAAATATCTTTGTTTTGAACATACAGGTTTAATGAAATTTTACATTAATACCCGTGTGGTTTAATAGGCCTTCCAGCTATGTGGCCTTCAAATTTCAAATTTCATACTTCATGCATTTGTGCATAATATATTGTTATTAAATTAACGAAGTAAATTTAGCAAAAGCAAATTTTGTCTTTTGGGCATAATTTTATATCATAAAATATCAGATTGAAATTGTACTTTATTCTTTACTCTAGGATCAATTGTTCTAAAGTTTACAATCAGCGAAATGCAGACGCCACACCAACCGTCTGCTTTGTACCTGGCTGTGACGCTTAGGACGAGACTACAAAACAGGCAGATTGTACTTAAAGATGAGTCCGACGAACCTCTAGTATTAAAGACTACACCAAAAGTAATGGTACCAACGGAGAATCCGAAAGGTTTGTTGATTTGTTTGATGACAGTAATTTAATATCAATGATAGTGTTTCATACTTCGAGTTGACAAGAAGTAGATACGACCGTATTTAATCGAAATCAAAACAAAGAACAGGAAAACATTAAACCTCTGGCTATTGGAAAAAGATGTTTGTTTTGCTAAGCGTTAGTGAAAGCAAAATAAAACATTTCATTTTTTTTATAGAGACCATCCCCTTAATACAAATCACAGATGTAGTTTCATGTTTATCATATGTTAGATCCTATAATCTAAAAATGTGTAAATCTTTCATGAGTTTGATTTACAGATCTATTTCGAAAATTACATGTTCTTCGCGTATGCTTAACCATGCATTCACCCGCCTTGTTGCTCATATTGTTTTTATACAACTCTGACTAGATGATAAATATTTCAGAAATCAGCTTAAGTTGATCAGCTAATAGTTATAAGTTAATATAACATTGCTTTAATTGTAATGCAGTTTATTTTTTTAATTTTTGAGAAAATGCTAAAGTTTCTATATGCGAACAATCACATAACAATAAACGTTTCTTCATTCAGTAGATATGTCACTTGCGCCATAGCATCAATACAACCATGACATAGCTCAATTCCTTAAAAGTGACACACTGAAAAAAGAGATAAGATTGACAGGTCTTAATCATGGAAATAAAACGACATTTTCTTAAATATTTACTGAATTGGTTTCATTTTGCAAAAAGAGTTCATGCAATATAAATAAGGCTTAACTCGCACTTTCGTTAAATAATATAAATAAAATTCTTTCTTTCTGTGTCAAACTTTTGTTTTAAGCTCACCTTGCGTGAAATGATTGTGAGCTCGATATGCTAATATGTGTGTCCGTCGCCCGTATGTCGAAAGGTTTTCTTTGGACCACTTTCTTTTAAAGACTAAACATTACATTCATCAAATTTGGCAAGCAGTTACTTAAGAAAAAAAGTTGTAAATATGTTTTCAAATGAATTATTTTAGCCTATTCTCACAGTTACAGAGTTAAAAACTCTTTAACAAATTCAAATGCCAAAATTAAAAAAACTAATGTAGGTCTCTCGACTCTCGGATTCACATTTGTACACAGTAATAACTGCCCAAGACATTTATATAATAAACACATAATATGTTTTAACAGTGATATTGTATGGGGTCCTGAAACATGACTTATCATATTGTTGAAATTAATAAAGTTGATGTCATCCTTTGACTTGTTGAACCTTACGCTTATTGTCCTACCTAATTCTGGAGAACTTAGGTTTGCACTCCATCAATCAATCTGTTCGTGCATCACTTCATACTTCATATTCTTTACAATTGCTAAAATTTTGGATGCGAGTTAATCTTTGTATGATATAATTTCGCTTATTGAAATTGCGTCTTGGGCGGCACATCTCTTATTCTTTGTCACCTACAAATGCCTACAAATGTATTCGAGTACGTTTTGGGAATCAGACTTTCGCGTGCTAAAATGAAATCCTTAAACATAGAATAATGGACCTTTAACCATGGCTTATATAGCATGATTTACTGTGTGTTTTTTATTGTTCAGCCTGACTAACAATACCCTAATGGCTACATCTTTTTCCTGTAAACGGACTATAGACTGCTCGCATTATTTTGCATTTGAACATAATTTGCCAACACCATTTAAAAACAGATTAACGATAAATTCCTATTGGCCTTTTTCTTTTCTTTATAGATATACCAACAATACGTTTAAGTAGAGGGCACTACCGATTTACTGAAGGAAAAGTGGCCATTTTGAAATGTGTTGTGGTCGCCACAGCGGAAACCGAATCTATCCAGTGGTTCAGAGTAAAGGATGAAAGATCTCACGCTATTATAATTGACAACGAAAAGTATTTTGGCGGGTTACCAAAATCCCCATCACTTGCTATCGCTGATGTAAAGAAATCTGACAGAGGAATATATTTCTGTAGGGCAGGGAATAGAGAAGGTGAAGTGGAAAGTGACATAGCCTTTGTCGAAATCAATAGTATTGGTGAGTTGTACATTCGCTTATTTCTTCCTAAATATAAATGCAACAGTGATATGATAACATGTGAAACATTTACGATGTCTGTGTTTGATTTCATCAAGGAACAGGAAACTCCATTGTTATTATTCCATTCAATTACCCAAGTGCGATTTCAAAGGCGTATATTCAAAACGATGTGTAATAATTAAATCTATTCGTTACGTGATTTATTTCTCCTAAAAATAGAGTTTTCCATATTAGCCATATCATTCGTATTATTACACTACACTTTTGAAAATGAGTGCCTAAATTTCCTTCAAGACAGACATGCAAGCATTATATTTCTTTTTTACCTTTTTTGTGTTAACAGGAATTTAAGCATCGATATCGTTTCATTATGTTATGTTTGATCTGTATATATATCGTTTGTCAGTAAACTAAATATGACCATTGAAGTAATTACAACAGTGTAAGCAATTCGCTCCTTTATCGAGACACAGAAAAACAGAGAACACTTCCATAACATCAAACAGGATAGTATATTACTAATAATTAAACACAATACCATCCCCCCCCCCTCCAACTAGCGTAAACAGAAGGCAGAATTTGCACTGAGCGCATCGCTGACAGTGATGCTGTGTGTGTATTTTTCTAGCTTCATCATCTACGCTCCCATATATATTATATTGTCATTATTCGCACCCAAAGTATCATTGGCTAACGATGCGGTCTTCGGCTTACACTAGCCAAGGGGGCTTTATATTTTTTAAATATTAGTTATATCCTAGTATATCTCTACCCTGTTTGAATGTCTACCTTGTCTTTATTGTAATTCTTCTCCTACAAACATACGTTGGTATGGATACAGTGTTACATGGAAAATTACCAATATGTATTTAAATTATATATTTCCAGGTGAGTTGGGTACAAGGAAGGATGTTGTCAGTGCTGTGACGGAGGATGTCTTTACCGTAGAGGAAGATGTCAGTTCCGTGAAGGAGGATGCCAATGCTGTGATGAAGGATGCCAGTGCTGTAACAGATATCAGTACCATGGAGGTTAACGTCATAAAAAAAGAATTAAGTACTGGACTGGAGGACAACTTTGGTATCAAAGGTAAGATTCGAGGCTATGCCTTTGGCACTGTTATATCCTCTTTGAAATAAGTGGGGTATATAACAGACACTCATGCCTCTTTTAACTGTTTGCAGAAACCATATACTCTAAATGAATGAAGTTTTAATCTATTATTTCAAAAACATGTTTATTGTTTATGATAATACGTTTTGTAATTTAACATCTTGTTTTATTTAAATGGTCAAAGTCAGGACAAGAACAACAATATTTTTCTTCTTCAACAAGTGTATGGCGTTGAGATCATTTATATGTGTGTCTTTCTGTCTCTCACGCTTTGTATTAGATCTGTATATTGAATTGCAACCACAACTTTTTAAAAGTCGTCAAGTTGTTCTAACGCGCTGGTTTCCTCTGCTTTTTTCTGATGCTCTTTTCTGTTATAACTATAGTTTCATCCCGTCTCTCCTCCTGTTATGTCCAAAGCATATTGCTTGTCTCTATTTGTTTTTAACACAAAGCTTTTTCTGGTGTCTGCTTTTTCAACACTTCTTCATTGTTAATTCTGTCTCTGTAAGATATTATAAGCACTTTACCTAGATACCAGATTTCTGCTGCATTGATGACATTAAAACCTCGCTTCCTAATGCCAGTATTGGTTGTATGTTGCACCCTTTTCCAGGTCTGGACCGGGATGTGCTTGTTTTACTGTCCCTTAATGTTTTCTGAGCCGTGGCTATTGTGCTACTGATTTCATTGATGACTAGTTACGTGGAATCGAAGCTTTTGAGCTTTCAAACTGATGTAATACAGAACCTTTTTGCAGTTTGGTGTTTCTCGTGTCTATGATATAGGGGGAAAATCTTTAAAAATCTTCTTCTTCTCAACCAATAGAAGGATTTTGACCAAATTTGTCCTAGAGCATCTTTGGACAAAGGAGACTCAAGTTTGTATAAACGGAGGGTGTGGCCTCTTTGGGGGCAGAGGGGCGGGGCCAAATAGGGGAAGTAGAGGATTTTTTCTCTCCTACTATACAAGTGAAGGGATTTAAACCAAATGCAGTCTGAAGCTTGGTCAGGAGCATCATTGGCCAAAGGGTTCTCAGTTTTGTATAAACGGACGGTATAGCCCCCCCTCGGGGCAGAGGGGCGGGGCTAAATAAGGGGAAAAAAGGTAAATCTTTAAAAATGTTCTTCTTCTCAACCAATTGAAGGATTTTGACCAAATTTGTCCTAGAGCATCTTTGGACAAAGGAGACTCAAGTTTGTATAAACGGAGGGTGTGGCCTCTTTGGGGGCAGAGGGGCAGGGCCAAATAGGGGAAGTAGAGGATTTTTTTCTCTCCTACTATACAAGTGAAGGGATTTAAACCAAATGCAGTCTGAAGCATGCTTAGGGACAAAAGAATCAATTTTGTATAAACTGAGGTGTGTGGGTCCCCTTCTAGGGGCAGATTGGTGGGGCCCATTAGGGGAAATAGAGGAAAACATCCAAGATCCTTCTCCTTTTGTACTGATGAAGGGATTTCAACCAAATTTGGTCTGGAGCATCATGGGCCAAAGGGTTCTCAGGTTTGTATAAACGGAGGATATGGTCCCCATGGGGGCAGAAGGGTGGGGCCAAATAGGGGGAAATTAGGTAAATCTTTAAAAAAAACTTTAGCAAAATTCTTACAAATACTAACATGTATACACCACTCTTTGCCCAATACCTACGTATATATATATCTCTACATTGATTCTCATTATAAACTTCTCCCCAGTTTTCAAACTTATATAAACTGATAATACATGTACATTATTATATTTACTGCACTCTCATATGTATATCCAGGGTTTTCAGTTACTTTTTGCATAGGTGGTTAAAAATCTATAATAACTAATTAAAAGCCAAAGACCCCGGCCAAAGCACTGGAACAAGTTTGCCCTCCTCTCATGATCATCACTAATTTTATACACGATATTCATGAACAAAACTAAACATATTTTAACTATACAATAATCCCAGGTGAGCTATTAAGGCCCCTGGGCCTCTTGTCTTTTTATGCTTGTGTTCTTTTTAAGCTCGCCTATTCGTCAGCGTCGGCGTCCCCCTTCACTGAGGTTAAATATTTTGGGTCAGTTTTTTTCGAGATAGTATTGAAGCATCACACTCCATACACTGTTGTCTATAATAAGGTTCAGTCATTTAAATAGAGTGTAAGCTTAGCAATGTGCTGAACAAAATTTTCATATTAAAGGGGCAAAACAGCTCATTGGACTTGGTTAAAGTTTTTTGGGCAAGTTGTTTCGTGGAGTGGTGGATCTTTAGTAAACTTGAATCGTGGTTTCTGTTGGGAAGTGTTTTTTTCGGAATTCCAGTGTCAGGTTTCTGTTGACGTATTTGTAAAAAATCGACTTAAGCTTCAGTTAGGGTTCCACTTGTAATGTTTCTACAATCAAAAGAGAGTGGGATATATATAAAGATTCACCACAACGTTAAATACACAAAGTTGAACTCTGAATATAAATCTTAATGAAGCAATAGCACACAGAACTGTAGGAAAACATTTACACAATAGAGGCCCACAAGGATTTTCCACCCAAAAGAAAACAGCAATCAAATTATATACAGGTCACAGAGGGTTAAAGACACAATGAACACATCTATAAGTACGACAGACATTAAAATCTGACAGATGTATCAAGTTAGCGTGACAACTGTTAGGTCTATACGTTTTTTATGATCTTTTCAGGTCTATACAAAGCCAACTCAGAGGAACTCATGAAGGAGCGAATTGCACATGAGCATGTAAAAATGGTTACGGAATTATCCGAATACTTTTCCCCAAAACTGGATACTTGGTCAAAATTCAGAGAGTCAATACGTTGGGCTTTACCACCGGCATACCTTGAAGAGGACTTGAACTCTATCGTAGAAAGCCTAATGAAGAAACATCTTATTGGTTATGGTCAATACCAAACATTGTATGAAGCTGTCGACAAATTTGACAGGAATCCATCAATCATCATTAAGAAGGCAGAAGCACATATAAAAGCAATAAGAGATGGAGGTAAGCAGCAATAAAACTAAAACCCACTAGTTGTTTATGAGGTACTGATCACAACCCTTACATTTATTTGTCGTACACTTTTCATATTGAAGTCCCATTGCTTAGGGACATCTATTTTTCTAATGTCTTTACGTTTGTTTTGGTCTCTCACCATGCTAGATTTTAATATCAACATGATATTTGTAGTTGTCATTCTGTTTAACGCATTTTGTCTAGAATGCATTGGTGTTCAAAATTTATATCATAAGACAACAATAGGACCGAAATGAGACAGCATCATATGTAATGGATACCTGACGCATTATTTGTTTACTTAGTTTTTCGCGGGTGTAAAAAGGTCTCCGAATTTGCTAGTCTAGTTTCTGTCATGTATTTCATGCCAAAAATGCTTTTTTAATAAATCACATTTTTTACCTCTAGATGTAGTCAGTCCGATGAAAATGGATGTCAGTAAAGCGAAGAAGGAATTTGGTTTTGATTTGGATACACGCCCGGGCATTAGAGGTATGACTCAAACCTATTTCATCATACTGATTTACCTACGAAGTAAGATATATACTTAACACAAGGTTTATTCGTTCGTTGGACAGTCCGTTAACACCTTGTCGGGACCATATCTTCTGAATTACTGGTAATGTGTCATAATAGGCAATAAATGGCGTGGACACTTTTGAGTTTGTGCTAATAAGATAAAGTTTGATGCAACAGATCAAAAATGATTAAATGTTTATACTGCAGTAATAAACCATAAAAGAACCAAATTGTGATTAAATATAGTGTTAAACTGCACATTCAGGTTCAAATCTAAAACTTGCTCCAATTATTTTTTTTCCGTGACGTATATCGACTGATGACAGACAACAAGGAGTTTCTTGAGATGAAATCTGATGACAATTGTGGACAAGTTTTAATGTCGCCAATCATTACGTCTTAGTGGAGTAGCTATTTCTTTTGTGAATGAAGGTCGATGTTGATCCTGATGCTCATTAGCAAGCCTTGTTGTTTTCTGCCGATACCCTGGCTATTTCTATGGGGACTTGCATTTTTGACACTACTGGGATTTAATATATTTATATGACGGGTGTCATTGTTCAAGCAGAAGACTCTTACCTTTCCGAAACATTTTCATAATTATTGTTATTAAGTTTTCTAGCAGTTAGGGTCATATCACTGATTGTGCAGTTAGTAATGTTCTAGAATAACAAAAAGGTACACATAGGATCTCTTTGTTATGCTGTAGTTGACTTACATATTTCATGTTTCAACTGTGTCAGGACTTTCGATGCATGACCTATCTATATATTTTGCCCTAAATTCCTCCATTTGAGTTTTAATTAATGTTTTGTTGATGCTTCGATATTCTCCTAATGTTTTTTATGCAATTATTGCTTTTGTGAGAACGACAAGTAGTAGTATCATGACTGTCTCTTCGGAATTGTACAGATTACTAGTAATATATAGATTATATTACATGATCGATAAAAAGACGGGAATCGATTGCATCTCATAAAAATGCTGATGCTATTACATACTAAAACTCGTATGTCACTCTATGATGATACTAGTTGTCCATGGTCCGTAATCTGTCTGTCCGCCATACCTAGTTGTCCATATTGACTTTTTACTGATCAGATTGGCCTACAGGTAGCCATTTTGGATTTTGACATTCCATATTTTTTAGAAAGCAATTGTGGGACCTTTCTTAAATTTATTATCTGAGTTTCCTTTAGTGTCTTGTTGTGCATATTTACTTTTGAGACTGATCGGATAAACAAAATGGCTGACAGACAGCCATCTTGCATTTTTAAGCCGCTCCTGGCGAGAGCCTAGCGGCTTATTGATTCTGTCCAGAGAACGAAATGACAAACCCACTTCCGTTCGGGGTGCGTGCGCATAATTCAGTCTTGCGTGCTTCCGCTATATAATTTCGTTATCGTAAATAGAAAGTAGAATCTCTGACACTCAACTGTCAGCACATGTGAAGACTGTCAAGCATTGATGCTGTCTGTATGGTCTTGCTTTTTAGGTCACCTGGGCTTTGCTCAAGTGACCTATTCTAATTGCTTTCCGTCCGTCGTCGTCCGTCGTGCGTAAACTTTTTACATTTTCAACTTCTTCTCAAGAACCGGCGGAGCCCCAAAGGGAAAATTAACCAATATTTCAAAAACCTACTTCCCCAGATTCAGAGGTACTATAGTCAATTTCAGTGCATGGGTAGAAAGATCATCAGGAGCTTTATTTACATTGTTTAATTTCAGGACATCCGAGGTATCTGTTCCCTCTTGGGGAGGGGGTAAAGTTTACTATAGTTTTTATAGGGAAACAACACTTTTGGGTAGATTTTATCTATTTTTAGCAGAAAATTATTCAAACTTAGTTAAAATCATCTTTGGTGGATGAGGGAATTACATTTTAAAATGGGGATTCCTGCCCCATCCCCAGGGCCTTTAAAATTCTTATCCTTTGATGACATGACAAGTATTGTATTTCATTTAGTTTACATGCTGATTTCCACAGCACATCTAAACAATAAAATAAAGCTACCAGTATCATCATCTGATCAGACTGATGGTCTGCTATTCAAATCACCCTGCTTCCGTGGTCCGTGGTCCGCCCGTCCGTCCGTCCTTAAACATTTCTTGTTATCGCTATTTCTTAGGTAATGCCAGAAGTATCTTTCTCAAATTTTATATGTAGGTTCCCCCTGGTCCCTTGTTGTGCAGAGCAACTTTTGAGATTGATCAGATAAACAACATGGCCGACAGGCAGCCATCTTGGATTTCAAAAGTGAATGTTTGTTATTGCTGTTTCTCAGTGAGAGAGATCTTTCTCATATTTTAAATGTAGGATTTACTTTTGAGACTGATCAGATGAACAAAATGGCAGACAGGCTTCGATATTTGACATTGCAGGTGCGTTAGTACTTTTTCGCAGGAATAACTTGAGGGATCTTTCTCAAACTTGATATGCAAGTTCCCCTTGATCCCTCGTTTTGCATATTATTTTTTGAGACTGATCATAAGCAAAATGAAGAACTAAACAGATCTTTCTCATATTGCAACAATCAATTCTATTTCTTTCACATTAAGTACTGTACTAGTAAATATGTGAAATGACAAACTCACTTTGAAGGTTGTCTTTTATACACAGCAGTATTACGTTTAGAGCAAAAGTTACCTCAAGGTGCATTTACTGTTAACATGACTCGATCAAAAATATTAGAGAAAATAGGAGAAAAGATCGAACTGACAAAGAACTAATGAAGATGGTACATTGGTGGGTGCCAAGATCATTCTGGGATTTCTTGTTTGCGAACGCCCGGTGAGCTTATGCCATGGCGCAGCGTCCGTCATCTGTCAACCTTTCCTAAAATTTGCATCCTTAGGGAAAGGGGAACAAATTTTGTATAAATGGTGGGTCTGGCCCCCATGGGGCCAATTAAACAGGGGAAAATTATAGCAAATACTTTGAAATCCTTCTCCTTCTGAAGGAATGAAAGAATTTGTTCCATATTTGGTCAGAAGCATCATTATGGGATGGGGAACAAATTTTGTATAAATGGTTGATCTGGCCCCCCTGGGGGCTGAGAAGCGTGGCCTTAATGGGGAAATACAGCAAATTTGAATTCTTTTAAATCCATCTTCTTCTGTAGGAATGAAAGTATTTGTTCCATATTTATTCAGAAGCATCCTTAGGGGATGGGGAACAAATTTTGTATAAATGGTGGGTCTAGCCCCCCTGAGGGCTGAGAGACGGAGCCAAATAGGGGAAACATAGGAATTTTTTAGCTCACCTGCCCGAAGGGCAAGTGAGCTTATGCCTTGCTCCGTTGTCCGTGCGTCAACTTTTCCTTTAAAATGCTACTAGTCCTGAACGGCCAAGTAGATTTTGACTGGATCATCCTTAGGCCAAGGGGACTCAATTTTGTATAAATGGTGGGTGTGGCCCCCGTGGGGGCAGAGTTGCGGTGCCTAATATGGGTAATTGAGGTAAAACCTTATAATCCCTCTTCTACCATAGAGATAATGGGATTTTATACTAATTTGGTCTGGAGCATCCTTGGGCAAAGGGGACTCAATTTTGTATAAACCATAGGTTTGGCCCCCCTAGTTCCGCATTTGGTCTGAATCATTATTGAATAAGGGGAAACCAATTTTGTATAAACAGTGGGTCTGACCTACCTCCCCCTCCAGGGGACTGAGGGGCGGAGCCTATCCGGGGAAATATAGAAAAATCTTTTAAATCCCTTTACTTATGCAGGAATGAAAGGAAAGGTTTCGTTTATATTTAGTCTAAAGCATCCTAGGGTGAAGGGGAATCAATTTGTATTACCAATCCCCCCCCCCGAGGTGCCTGAAGGGCAGGGTCTTATAGGAGAAATATAACAAATTCTTTAAGATTCTTCTATTTTAAGCTCAAGTGACCTTTTGCTATCCGTCGTCGTCCGTTAACATTTT